GGGAGATGGGGAGAGAAAAGTTAGAGGGGAAGGAGGTCGGGCCTTGGGAAAACAGGAGGATTGGGATAAAGGAAGGTTGGACAGGGGAGCACGGAACCACAATTCTTAGTTAAGGGAGCCACTTTAGGGTTGGCAAGAGACCTGACCTTAGAGGGGTTCCCAGGTGCCCAAGCTGAGGTCCCCAGTTAGTTCCTCGGGCAGTTGAGGATAGGGAACCTGAAATGACCCTATCCTAGAGCAATACTGACGAATATCTTGCATATCATCATAGAACCTTCATCTGGTGATGGATGGAGATAGAGACAGAGACCCACACTGGAGCACTGGACTGAGCTCCCTAGGTCCCAATGAGGAGCAGAAGGAGGGAGAACATGAGCAAAGAAGTCGGGACCACGAGGGATGCACCCACCCACTGAGACAGTGGAGCTGATCTATTGAGAGCTCACCAAGACCAGCTGGACTGTGACTGAAAAAGCATGGGATAAAACTGGACTCTCTGAACATGGCGAACTATGAGGGCTGATGAGACGCAAAGGACAATGGCACGGGGGTTTGATCCTACGTAATGTGATGGCTTTGTGGGAGCCTAGCCAGTTTGGATGTTCACCTTCCTAGATATGGACGGAGGTGGGAGGTCCTAGGTCTTACCAAAGGGCAGAAAACCGTGACTGCTCTTTGGACTGGAGAGGGAGGGGGAAAGGAGTGGGGGGAGGGAGAGAAGGGTGGGAGGAGGGGGCGTAGGGTGGGAGGAGGGGGAGGGAAATGGGAGGCTGGGAGCAGGTGGAAACTTGTTTTTTTTTTCTTTTCTCCTTTTCTCAATAAAAAAAATAAAAAAATATATAAAGTTCTAGTCTTTGAAAACTTTAGGATAATCAAGAAATGTAGGTTAGTAGTCATCTATAACAATCAAACTGATAGTCATGTTAGGCATGTTTTCAAGGTTAAACAAGTATATTTAGATAGATAGGTGATCTTTAGACACCCCAGAAGCATACAGATTATAGCATTTAAGATGTTTTAATGACATAAAGCTTTTCATAACAGTGAGATATGTCTGCTCCTGGCAGCACCAAAATACTTCAAAAAAGGATGATGGGCATCAAAGAACCTCCACATAGACTTTACTTTCATTGTGGCAGTTAGCCACTAGACAAAGAAACTGCCCTTGCCTCGACTGCTGACAATAGAACATCCAAAATGGACAAGAAGGATACAAAGGAAAGCAACTGCCACACTTTGTCAAGACAAGATAGGGCAGTCCTTCAAAATTTGGCAGCTACATGGCATCTCCTTGACTCTGCCTACTCTCTCTCTCTCTATATATATATATATCTCTTCTTTCAGCCTGGATATATTCTGCCCTTCCTTAGGCCAAAGCAGCTTTATTCATTAACCAATAAGAGCAACACATATACAGAAGGACATCCGACATCAGTACAGAGCATACAATTTCCAAAACTATAGAAATGACAAAAAAATCGCTGGCTTCCTGGACAGTCGCCCAAAGTTCCTGTGAAACATGAGGGCATCCATCTTCAGCCTACAGGCCTAATGTACCTGAAACTTTTTTGTGAAGCAGGAATTTTGAAGGACTGCTGTATCTTGTCTTGGCAAAGAACCTCCACAAACTTCTGAGAAAACTAGGATTTGGCCACCTTAGTAATAAACCAAAACAAAGTCTTACAATTGACTGCCACTTTTTAGCAAGGGAGAAGTTAGTGATGATCCCGACAATAGCAATTGTGGGTGTGGAAGAGGTAAAGCCTTCTGATGGAAGAGAGGAACTGGAGAATGTAGCAGAGACATCTTTGGGGAACAGTTTTCCTAAAGAGGTTAGAGAGGGAGCAAAAGCTCTGGAGCAAAAGAAGTGGGGTTAGGAATTTGACTACTTTTTAACAAAATGAGGGGAAAATTCAGCCCATTCCAATTCTGATAGGAACACTCCAGAAAACCAGCCAAATATCTTCAGTGTCCTTACTATTAGCCTATTGATAAAAGCATGGAGTTTTTGTTTTTCATAATTCATAATTCTTCTTTTGCTTTTGTAAAATAGCTGAAAAAATAAGAAAGACAAGGCTTCTAGGAAGGCTGTAGAAGCCAAATCCAAAATGTAAAAGTCCCTTCCTCAGAGAGAAGTTCAGTTTTGAACTTCGACAGAGCAATAGCAGCAGGAGAAAACCACCAGGGTACAGGCAAAAGAAAAACTGAATAAAAAAAGAAATAAAAAGGACAGTAACACGACTGTTCCTAGGTACGGTAGAAGAGAATGTTTATTGCAGACGTGTAGGAAAGCATAGGCAGAGGCAGGGACATCTGGGAGAGTCCTGAGCCATGTGAGGAAAGCATAGGCAGAGGCAGGGACATCTAGGAGATTCCCGAGCCATGTGAGGAGAGTGGGGAGGGAAAAAAGAGGGGAGAGATGGGAATCAGGTGCAGAAGCCAGGATGCCCAAAGGTACAAAGAGAGCAGCTAACCAAAATGGTTAGATTATATAGGGAAGGCAGCCCAGTCCCCTGGGCTGGGGAGTTCAGAGTAGGGGATGGGGTGTGCCAGCCAGTTGAGTCCTGTAACAGGCAAGGGCTGAGGGATTGAACCTGGTGGCCAGGGTCTGCTTTGATATGTTAAATAGGAACCTCAGCCATTTGTTACAGGTTTGAAACCTAACACAAACCATGTTCATTATCTTCTTGTCATGTGGCAAGAAGAAACACATGGCACACAATAGAAAAAGATCTCTCTTTTGTTGAAGTGATGGTTACGTTGGTATAAAATTGTCATTAATCTGTAAGAGTTCATAACTGAAGGATGAGATAATGATATATAAAATAAGTTATACTAATTCTACACACTGGCAGTCAATAACTGGAATGTAAAATTAGAAAAAGAATGACATTTACAATGAAACCAAATCATCAAGTTGGTAGGTATAAATCCAAAGGAATACTGTAAGATCTCTGCCCTAGTTCAGTCTTCTGTTGCTGTGATAAAACCCTCTGAACAAAAGCAACTGGGGAAGAAAGGGTTTATCTTATCTTACAACTTCCAGATCATAAGCCATCATTGTGGAAAAAAACTGAAACAGAAACTATCCAGGAACCATGCTTGCTATCTGGATCTTTTACTCCCTCACTGGTTTATGTGTACACAGTAACACACAAGCACAATTTTTAATGAAATAAAAATTTAAGAAATAACAGACGCAAACAATAATAAACTTAAAAAGAATGAGAAAATTTCATATAATCCCCAGAAATACAGGCTAATGGAGAACTTAAAATGTTTTCAGGAAATGATGCTAGAGGAACTGCACCTACATACTGAGGAAACATACAAGTGTAGCCACCAACTCAGCCTACAGAGAAGGCAGAGGTCTATTAGTAAAGCAAACTATAAAGCTTCTAGAATAAGACACAGAAGACCATTTCCATGACATTAGAGAAGATATAAAAGTAATAAATATAAAACAACAAAACCAAAATAAACATATTTCATAAAAACAAGAACTTCTATACTGGGGGTATAGCTGAGTAGTGGACGGACATAGATTAGACACTCTATATTGTTAATGTGTCTGACAAATAGGGACATATAAAGCCTTCTCATTGCACAAGTAAAAGACAGCAGAACATAGAAGGATCTCCAGGTCCCCCCAATCAATTATCAAGCATAGCATTATCTAACATTGATAAGCATTAACTAAAGTATAAGGACGACTTAGTACAAGGAAATTTTTCAACAAAAATGTATTTTATTTTTCTGATTATCTTAAAAATTCCAAGGCAGAACGTGCCTGGAGTTCATTTTCCTGAGATTCGGATATTAGCCCATTTCTGATGGTGTCAGAATAAATACAGTTTCCCAATAAATACAGTTTGGGCAAAATATCAGAGATCATATTTGTCATAAACTAGACAAACAATGCTACATAAATAATGATTCTCGGCTCTTTTTTGTAAACTGAACTAAATGGAGACCATTGCATGGTTACAGACCTTGGCTCACCAACATCAAACTATGACTGAATAAATGAATAGGACAACTCAAAGGTTCTAGATAATTTTATGTTCCATTTTAATTTAAAAAAAACAAATGAATATTAGTAAAAAACAATAAAGAGGCTTAAATTATTACTAAATTATTAGAAAACAATCTAAGCTATAACTAAAGGCTGCACATACATGTTAAACTCAAGCGAAAAGAAGCATCAATTTGATATAATAAATTCCAGCATGGAGAGGAAGAGGTAAGCACAAAACCCCACCCCTAGCTGAGGAGTTACTGGAATTTGATAATTGCAGGTAGACGAGGAGTCAGTTTTCTTTAAGGGTCTGGCTCCTGATAGATAGACCACACTCCAGGGCAGGTCCCATACACGAGAGTATTTGGGCAACACAAATGGAAGTCAGTGGATTGGGGGTGGGGGAGAAGAGAACTCGCCTTTGGGTTGGTAGGGAGGTGAGGATATATCAGGGGGAAGCTGGAGGAAGGGGAATGGATATGATCAAAAAATAAAAATATTACTTAAAAAGTTAATATTATATATAAAACAAGCACAAATACCCGTGCAATAGCCAGTACACAGAAACTATTATCATTTTTATTATAATCAGTATAAAATTTCTTAGATTTTTATGTTCTTATTTGTACCAAGTCATCAAAGACCAGTGCACATTCTATATTTATAATACATTTGCAGTTTTACACACAGAACATTACACATTTCAAATACTCAACAGTGTGGCTGGTGGTTGGTATATTTTAACATTTATTAAGTAAAAACTGTTTTAAACATTTTACATGGATTATTTCATTGAACACTAGCTGAGACAAACAGAAAAAAAGTGGTCCACTTTAAATATTCAACTGAACAAATAAATATCTAGATTCCTATTTACATAGATGTTTTGAAGCTTAAATTTTTGGCAATATTAAAAACAAAACAAAACAAAACTTTTGCCCGACATGATTTCCAATCTGGAAAAAAAAAAAAAAAGACTTACCAGCAATATGAGTTTCTGATACTTTTGTTTTAGGTCTGACACATGTGCAGACGGGTCTGCCCCCAGAATGCTGTACCAGTCCTTTTTGAGGATCTGCTCGAAAGCCATCGCTGCCTTTGAAGTGAGCCTTCTCAGAAAAGCTGCAGCAGAAATGTTATCACAATTCATTACAATCGGGATAATGAAATATCCCTTCCTAAATTCTTTATTACTTGATTGAGTAAATTACGATCAAAATGCAAACCCAAGAAAGTTGATAGTTCATTTAAAATGTCTCATAAATGCCATGTGTAAGGACAGCTACCAAGAAGTACAGAACACCTGCTAGATATATGATATATGTTTATCTTTTAAATAAATTCACAGTGTCATAAAAAGAGAATTTAATATGAGCCTCGGTGATGGATGAACTTCTAAGAAGGTATTTCTTATAATCTAATGGTGAAACTACCATAGAGGTGTTCACTAAAACCACTGGGGCTTATGAATAAAAAATTCGAATGCCAAAGAAATTGAAGTTGAGGGCATACATAGCCTCTGAATTTCCCCTGTTCTCTGCTTCCAGAGTAAATATAAGGCCTCACTAAATGACAGCACGGGCTCAGGGAGAGGGCAGTCCTCCTGCTAGGGCAAAGATGCTGACAGACTGCAAGGACCTCGCTCCCGAAGCTGTGCACGCCAGGATGCCACAGTCCCTGCTTTAGAAACCAGTTCAGCATGAGGCAGCCGGGTTGTCCGACTTGGAGTTTGGGGACCCGAGGCTTCCACAGTTCACCCTACCCAGCCAGCTCTGGCCGGTACCTTCCTTGGCTCCACACAGCGTCACACTCACCAGGCTTCGCACGGGAGCGTGTGCCCACTCCGCGGAAGATCGGAACCCACTTTCCTTTCCGCCGGAAGTCTTCGTTCAGCGGGAATGCGTTTCCAGTCGTGCCCTAGTTGTCGGTGCACATATCCTCAGGGCCCCGCCTCCCTTCCCCGACGCGGTCGCTATGGTAATTCGACCTGGTTTCCGAGGTTTCTGTCAGTGTGAAAGGAGCTCTGAAGAAATGCCTTTCCTCAACTTGTTCTAATTCTCCCTGGCCCCGGCTCCGACATTGTCACATCCTACATCCTTCCACCTCTGCTGCGGTGCACCTTCATTCCAGGTTCCGCTTACTTTACCTTGAGTAACTCGGGTCCTGTTGGTTGATACTGGGGGCCGGGAGTTGGTGATAAGCATGAGTGTAGCTAATAAATTATGCCTAATAATCATTCATTTTAGACTTCAGCAACTGACTTAAAGTTTTCTAAAAATTCAAATACGTTCACATTTACTATCTCTGTTTTTGCTTTCACTTCAGTCCACCAGGACAACTTTGGAAGGTGTTGCTATAGATACTTTGTAGATGAGGAAACAAATGAGGGATCAAGGCCAGATACGTAATTATGCAGGTGTAGAACCAGCCCTCTTACCAGAATGAACTGTCCTTTGTGAGTCTTTTAGGTAAGGGTTGCTCCAAAGGAGCACTTTTGAGTGTGCTGTTAGCGCGCTCTCCCTCCCTCCCTCCCTCCCTCCCTCCCTCCCTCCCTCCCTCCCTTCCCCCTCTTCTCTCTCTCTCTCTCTCTCTCTCTCTCTCTCTCTCTCTCTCATCTTTCCTTCTGTGTTCCCTTTTATTAACTCTTCCCTCTGTTTCTTACTTTGCCTTGGTCTCTTCTGTGCATTGAATCTAGAGATGAGAAGCATCTTAGTTTTGAGAACATGATATGATCTCCCTTGGAGATACAAAGTTGTTTCAGTGTTGCTACTTGATTCAGATATACTTTCTGTTTATTGTATTTTCCAGCAGCTTCTATCAGCTTAAGAGGTATTGAAAATAAAACTAAGTGGAAATAATATAATAGGATAAATTCTTTTAATGTTATGAACATTGCAGAATACATGAGGAGTTGCAGAATGATACAGCTGACTTTAAAATATAAATGTAAAAGGAGAGAGTAGGTTCTCAACTGGATTTTGTCATGTTCAAAGCAAAGATCATCATACTAATGCTGAGAGGGTCTAGTTTCAGTCCCGGACTTAGAAAACCATCTTGTGGGCCTACCAAAATGCACAAAGCAACAGAAGAAAGTATTGTGGATCTCTCCCTTTACAATAAGAAATCCCCCATTAAACATTCCTCCCCTCAAACAATCCTGTTTGACCCTTCTTTGCATACAGAAATATATTCAAGAAATCCAGTTTTAGGAACAAAAGGTTTGATATACTATTTCATTAGGCTGTTGTGATATCTCTTTTATTCTAGCCACTTACTTAATATTCCCCAGGAAATCCTAAATGCTTTTCATCTATATCCAAGTATTTTAGCTTGCTATCAACTTTTTCTTTTATCCTCAAGAAGTCCTTAATTATTCAAAACTGTCAATATTTAATTACTATCATCCAATATATAAAAACCCTCTTCTGATCTCTCAGCTCGTTTCAAAGATGTTTTTAGGGGTAGTTTACTTAGATCTGTATCCAAACACTTGAAACATTGAATCTGGTTGGTCTGTCTCTAAAAATGAATTTTATCAGACTAATTCCTTGACTAACAATGGTTCCTGTTGTTGTTTTTAGTTCACTGAAAAAAAAACACAGATGGTTTGTCTTATAATCCAAATCATTGACATTTGGATAAACCCCTCAAAGTGATTGTTACTGTGTCACTGCTCATTAATTTCCTTGTATCTAGAACAACATTATCCCATAGAAATATAGAAAAGTAAGCCACAAATGCAAGCTACATATGTGACTCTTGAAATATTATATTTAACACAGATATATCTATAATATTATCATCATAAAATGTAATCATTTAGGAACTGCTGTATAGGGTTTTTCAGCACAGCTTGGCCTGGACTACTCGTTTCCAGTATTCAGTAGCCTCCAGTCACTAATGGCTATGGCACTGAGCAAAGCAGGTCCAGAGAATGAAGTCCTCTTTTCCAATTACATTAATTTTTATTGTGTATGCATTTGTATGTGTGTGGGTATGCCAGCACATATTTTAGAGGTCAAAGTACAACTTGTGGGAATCAGCTGTTCCTCCTTCCATGTGGGATCTGAATACCAAACTCGGGTTTTTAGAACTGACAACAGTATTCTACCTGCTGAGCCATCTCTCCATCCCTAACATCCTAACCTTTTCTTCTGGCACTATTTTACCTTCTAGAGCAGCTAAGTCTTTAGAAAGTACTTCTTTCAATACTCATAGCAGGTCCTCGTACTCCTCTGATCCCATGACTTGTTATTGTCTCTAAAGGTATATTCTGTAACTGTTCTCCCAGTTAGATGGCCAGTCGTGTGCAGCAAGGAACCTCTCTCATTAGACAAACCGAGCACTGGGAGCTGTCTTGCTTCACCAGCACTTCCAACTTCTAGTGATGAGTTTCTGACCTGGATCAAGTCATTTTTCAGTGACAGGGTCCTAGAGTTAGTGGACCGGGGAAAAAGACTATAAAGAAGATAGGAAATCCGGGGTTAAGAGATTTTGTACAAGCTATGTCTTATGCTAAGCAAGCTTATTAAGACGTACGGTATCTTATATATGATTTTTAGGGGGAAGATAGACACGGTCAGCAGCAGACTGTCATACATCATAAATACGAGAATTCCGCAGGAAGATAATCAAGCAATGTTACATAAAGGAATAAAGGATATCTCAAGTGCCTCACAAGGGCCTTGGTACTGATAACCATAGCCCTTCGAGGGGGATAGTTGGTTTCTCAAGAAAACCTCAACTCCCACCAAACCCTGGCCCTGGGTCATTATTAGCTCTGCCAAGCATATTCATAGTTTTAGATGAGGAACTATGTTCCTTCTCCACACATCAGAGTCTCGGGGAAAAGCTCCCAAGGCTCTGATCCCAGGCTATTCCTGGCTCTGCCAAGCATGATCGTAGTTATAGGTCCTTTTCAGGGCCTCGAGGAAAGCCTTGGATCAGTTTGGTTGCCAGCAAGTTTCTACAATAGGTTTGTTTCTTACTGCTTTGTGTTCAGAATTAAATTTATCCATCATATGTGAAACTTACATAGCATAAATATAAACTATGGGGTTGGAATGGTGGCTCAGGGCTTAAGAGCACACACTGCTTCTGTAGTGGATCTGAGTTTAGTTCCTTCCACCAATGTTGAGCAGCTCACAATCACTTGTAATTCCAACTTCAGAGGGATCGAACATCTCTACCCTTTGAAGACACACACACTTACATGAACTTACAATTAACTAAAAATAGAATAAATATAAAAATATTCTTAAAAGAAACAAACTATTATGTGGTGGTTAAGGACATGAATTCTGAAGTCAAGCTGCTTAACTTCAGCTCTATCTGCTGTTTCTGACAGTTAGAGCTTGTAAGAGTTAATCCTTCCCTGCTTTCTTCCTCTCTAAACAATTGCACACATGATGCCTCCTATATCATGATGTGGGGCTTCAGTGAAACAGTTGTACCTGAGATCAGTAAGTACTTAGTAAGGGTTATTACTAATACTAGTAAAATATTTGCATCTTAGTTTTAAGATAACACTTGCGGCAGAAACTACCGAATTAGAAAAGTAAACCCACACCCAAGTATTTGCTGAATTAGTGTTTTAGTTTGGCTACAATGTAAATTTAAAGCATCAGTAAAACCATCTTAGTTAATGTGATCTACACCTTCTATAAAAACAGTAAGCATAAATTAAATATTTGATTACGAGATGATGATCATGCATCATAGCTACATAAAGAGATAATTTTATGAAGGTTTAAAACCCCAGGTTGTAGCAGTAGTCAAAATTTAGTCCATTTCTCTATCCATTATGTTAATATGAATCTGCCTATAAATAAACGCCCACCAAACGTTAATTAATATGATACTAGGAAACTATGCTTCCTACCTTATAGACAGTTGTATTTACTTCAGCAACTACAATGAAATACTGAGATGACTAATGGAGAAAGAAAAAAGATTTCTTTTTGTTCACAGTTTTGTACATTTTAGATTAATGTCATGTAGACATGGCATTTGCTTTCTTGTAGGAGTGGGTGCTAGCTGACAAAGGTAGACAGGGTGAAACAGAAAAAATTTTCTTTGCGTCATGACCAGGATGTAAAATGGAAAGGAAAAGAAACACAGTTCTGATAGCCAAAGGATCTCCCAGTAGACTGCACTTCCCAAAGGTGCCATCAAATAGCACCACCTTCTCTCCAACCAACTGCAACTGTGTGCTTGTGTTAAGTATTCATTTTGGCATTACATTCATGTGTTTTCTCTAGGTATTTCATTACTAACTATAATTTTCCTTGTATTTATTTCTGATTTTTAGGATTTTCTTATCACTGAGCTAAGCTGAATTTATTTGTATTGTCACCAGTATTACAGTTATGTTCTGAAATTAGGCAAATTGCATCTAAAGCAACTTCAAACCTTAGTGGGAAGACAGGCAAGCCACCAAGAATTAGCTAGTCATGAGATTTTAAAAGCAGTCCTATGGCACATGAACAGCCTTTGTTTGCTTATTCAGTCTACAAATAGTTTCTGTTTGCACTGTGCCTCATATGGAGAGACAGTAGGCAATGTTGGCTGCATCTTACTCATCTTGGCAGACAGATAGAGAAATAAGCAGCAAAAACAACTGCAAGTACCCTGTGAGAGAATACCAAGAACTGACATTGGTCACTTACAGGTACAAAGCAGAACAGGTTGTTTGAATTCCTGAAAGCTTTCAATCAAGATGAAGCTAAACCATGAAGATGAGTGGGCGTGTTCAGCCTTAAGTAACACTTTAAAGGGAAGGAGAAATGTGTGGTAAGAATTAGAAACACTTTTCTTTTTGGCTGATTGTCATAAAAGCTTATTTAATTTAAATCAATCTAAT